TGTTGTTGTTGTTGTTGTTGTTGTTGTTGTTTTTGTTGTTGTTGTTGTTGTTGATGTTGATGTTGTTTTTGTTGTTGTTGTTGATGTTGTTGTTGTTGATGTTGTTGTTGTTGATGTTGTTGTTGTTTGTTTTGTTTTTGTTTTGTTGTTGTTGAGGTGGTGGTGTTTTTCTTTTCTAATGTAGATGTTTTCCCCCACAAATTGGATCATGTAAGAGACAAGCTTCCGACCATGCTGACAGGTCCTACCCGGGCTGAGAGTGGTGCGGCATGCCAGTAGAGAGACCAATACACATGATGTATAGTAGATAGAAATGTTCTCCTTGCACTCAGGAATCGACTTCGGGTCCCGTGCGTGTGACAGCACTGAACAATGGAACTGCTCCACCATAGAGGGCGACATCACGTGACCCTGTCTGAGCCAACTTTGGTGCTTTTTGGTGTAGTTTTTTTCTCCTGTGACCCTTATACCGGGTGCTCACTGCGGATGGGATCGGGTCGAGTCGGGTCGGGTCGGGTCAGGTTGGGTCGATCGCCCAACTTGTCACCTGAAAGCAAACGCCTTTGTTTTTGAGGCGACGTGTCGGGTGCGATTGCTTGTGCCACGATAGCCGTCTTGTGCCACGATAGCCGTCTTGTGCCACGATAGCCGTCTTGTGCCACGATAGCCGTCTTGTGCCACGATAGCCGTCTTGTGCCCTCAATCTGGCTAGCAAACGAACCCGACCCGACCCGACCCAATCCCCAAATGGGCACCCAGTATGAAAGAGCCATCGAAAACGTTTATCTGTCTAACAGGCATTCTGGTAATCGAAGTAAGCTGTGTAGACTTTTGAAAATTGTATTTCGTTTTTGTCAGCGTTTACGGCACTTGCAACGCAATAGGGTCATATAAGTGCAGAAGATTAGAGGCGTTACTAGAGAGTAACAAACATAAAAAAAGAAGTTGGAGAGATAAGGACGATAGATGTTTGAAAGAAAAAAAAAGGAGCAGACCATACCAGAGCACTCACAAACCAACCATTTATGTTTGTCGGATGCTTTATTTTTAAATTGAATATAGATTAAATATAAATATTAAACTAATATACCTTCACGGACTCTTAAACCAGTTTGTTGTTGTTGTTGTTGCTGCTGCTGCTGCTGCTGCTGCTGCTGCTGCTGCTGCTACTTCTACTACTACTACTACTATAATTTATAATGATGATGATGACTACGACAACAATAAGAATAATGAAAAAAACAATGACCTCAGTGATGATGAACGTTTTCCTCCCTAACAATCACAATCGAGCTTCACGTGGTCGGACAGGTACGGGGTTCGCCTTTCGCTCTGAAGATCCCTCGGGTTCGAAACTGCCAGCGACAAAAAATAATAAAAGGTCTTCTTTTAAATATGCTCGTTACTGTTACTGCCTTTCAGCCACACCCGTGACCTGAGAGAAAGCAAGATTGAGCACCTAGATTCCTTGGGTATGGGCATAAAAATACCGAAGGTCCTGTACGTTTGTTGTAGAAGTTAAAGATTTCTTGCTGGTCTCAGCCACCACCAGGAAATATACGTTTAATTTTTAAAACAATTTTGGATCACTGAGATTTCCCTAGAATACTTGGAGGTGTCATCTCTGACTCAGAGGCTGACGTGTAAGGAACATTCTGCTGTACCCAGGTCTTAATGTTGTCCAGCCATGTTAGTCTTTGTCTTCCCCTGGCTCTGCCTCCCAACATCCTTCCTTCAGGCACCTCTTTCAGCTTCACAATGGTCTGATGTCGTTTGAAGTCACCAAAGTATTATATCTTTCTACATAACACTCGTATTTTGCTATGCAGGGTTTGTCTTTAATTTACTTTACTTTTTCATCCTCTGTTGCCGTTAAGCGTCGAGGGGAGATGCAGTTTTCTATGGTAGGTCAGCTCCGCAGCTAAATTGTTTTTAAAGTAAACGTCTTGTGTGGAGGTATAATTATGTCTTGTTACATTCTCTTAGGTAGAAACAGAAAGAGAATCCCCGCCATTCGGGACGTGCGAAAAGGTGGACAAGAAGAGACACGAGAGCATCAGTTTCTACGCCGACCGTTACTCTTACTCGGACACGGCGTGCCAGAAGAGCTGCCTGCAGGTCACCACCATCAAAAGGTGCGGCTGTTGCTTCGTAGACTTCCCCTGCAACCCTCTCAACAAGACGCACGTTTTCGACAACTTGGACTTGGGGCCCAAAGTACATTTCTGCAACACAACCGAGTACCAGGCGTGTCTGTATGAGCTGGATACTTCGAGGGCCTCCAAGTTTCTAGCTGAATGTTATGAACGATGTCCTCCGGCGTGTTCCGACATCAACTACGACATCACTTTGTCCATGGCCTTGTGGCCTAGCGAAAACAGGAAAGACCAGTACCTCCAGTCTTTTGATAACAGGCACAATGCCACAGGGAGCCAAGAGCAGTTCCAGGCCTTGCGCCAAAACCTTTTGCTACTCTCAGTCTACCCGGAGACGCTGAAAGTGGACAAATACGTGACGAACGCCAAGTACGACTGGAGCATTCTGCTGTCCAACTTCGGCGGCCAACTCGGACTTTGCATAGGGTTTTCCATCCTGACCGCTCTGGAAATATTCGAGCTGATCTTCGACATTTTCACGCATCTGGTTTTCTTCTTTTTTCCTCGCATCCAGTCCAAAGTCAGAGTGAAAGTGAGCGACGGCAACAGTAGAGAGAATCCTGGACGGAGTAACACGACAAGCTCTGGACAACCATAGAAGTTTGGAAAAGTTTGCTTTCACTTGTGATTATTGTACATGTTCTACGCCTCAATTGATACGATGTGGATCATTACAATTTAACCCTTCCAGCCCCAGCCATTTTTGTGCACTCCCTAACCCCAGTCCCAGCCAATACAGCAGTATGAAAAAGAGGCATGCATTCTAAAAAACCGATGTAGTATCTTTGTAATGAGCTCAAGATGATAACAACTTATAACAATGTTTAGAGGTAAATGAACAAATATTACGGAAATGAAAGTTCAATTAGATTCGCTAATTTAGAAAAATGCTCAAATTCGGTACTCCCCGAAACTGAGAATATTATACGCTCTTGGGACAGTGGGGGGTACAAGCGCTGCTGAAAATATACGCGCATGGGGCTGGAAGGGTTAATGGGCGGACTGTTTCGAGCACAATATTTAGATCATTTAAGATGATGGCTGTTTCGACCCTGTCTTTTTTGACCAACCCGGCCCAGGACCCCTGACAGATGTCACGGAACACAGCCCTACTAAATATTGAGACGAATATCTTGATGGAATAAAGACGAACTCCTATCTTTTGAACAGCGAATACCTTTTATTTTGTTTGAAACAAGAGTAGATCTAGTACATCTATGGATCTAGTGGATTTTCCGTACTGCGAGTTGACATTGACCCTGTCCCTCCCTCGAGCGAGAATAAAAGTGACAGCCTTTCGGCTTACTTAATGTTTACTCGACCGTCTCTGTCTCGTAGCTGACTGTTCGTGACTGGTTGTGAGTGAGTGTCTGTGTATGAGCTCACGTGAGCTTTCCTTCCACGTGACTCGCGTATCACGTGCAAAGCTCTCGACAAACCTCACCCCACCAGCCGGGTTGCCAGGGAGGTTTTCAATGTAAAGAAAAGTGGCCAAGTATCCACAACAACAGACAGGCGACATTTTACTGCGCTGAAGAAAAAAACTGCGCTGGAATGTCGTTCACTGAGACCTTGACAAACGAGCGACGTTTACCTGCGCTAGAATAAAACGACACATTTGTTCCACCTCGCATTTCAACATGGACAATTCGCGTGGAAATGGTGTGGTTCTTCATGTTATGAACAAATTATTGTTGAAACGAAATAAAAAGAGAACATTTTGGTGACAGGAATTTGTTGCTCGTGTGGCCGCTGTCATTAGCAACAAGGCTTCGTTAACATGCCGGGTGAGATCCGGGCTTGAAATTCCAGTCTCAGCGTGTTCTGGACGCGCACGGTTTGGGTCGACACGTTTCATGGACGCTCACAGCGCGCCCTTCCTGCGTGCATAGACACTGGACGTTTTGCCTGCATTAATGTTTCGAATTGCATGAAGTGGGGGTCGCCTGGTATTGGAAAAAAAAAACTTAGCGAGAAACTGGCCGCCAAAGTTTTGGTAACTTCCAAAGCTTTAATGTCCTGGGAAATTGCAAAGTGAAATCAACACAGAAGTAGGTTTTAAGTGGATATAAAAGACGTCAAATATAAAAAAAATCGTTAAAAATGTCCAACGAGACGAAAATTGTCTGTTTTTTTTTCAATCGCAACCATTATTTTGACGAGCGTGTTATTTCAGCCCGATGCCACTCAATTGTTGGACTCTCCACAAAAAGCAGAGGGGAGCAGTTATAAGAGGCGTGTCACGTGCAGTCTGTCCGAACGTAATACATTGAGTAGGACTGAGGACGCGTGTTTTGGCCGCTCGACAACGTTTCAAGGCGCAATGTTTTGAGGCATCTAAAAATATATATTAGAAGCACAATTTCATCACCCATATAAAGATTTTTGCAGTTCTGTTTTCTTTATTTGATATGTTCAAAGGCACGAAAAAACATTCACACTATGAATAAATAATATTATGTAATTGCGTTGTTTCAATGTGTGCATGGTGGCTGGAAATGACGGGCTGCAATACTGCCTTTGGTCAGACGCTGGCCGGACATGTTGTTCATTTTGAGTCCGCTACGTTAATAGACAACTCATCTTACCTGATCTATTCCTCTTTTTGGTTTCTAAAGAAGAAGGTGGTATTTATTCTGTGTGATCTGAAAAGCATGTTTGTATCATCTGTTTTGTTGATGTAAATTTTCAATGGGAACTTGATGTCGTTTAAATTTTCTGCACTTTTGTATGCTCCAACATTTTTCTTCTATCTTTTTAATGAGAACAAATGGATGATTCTGAAAACAATGTTTTGACGCGTTTATCATTTTCTTTTTTGTTTGCTATGGGGATTATTTTTTCTGCTTTTAAGTAATTATGATAAGTGTGTTTGAATCAACAGGGACACAGCTAAGAAAATTACGTTACGACTATAACATTAAGGGTTCAATCATTTCGATTCCAGTTTTGAATCAATTGGATCTTGTTATCTTTATTAACTATATTTTGAGACCCATTTGATTGAGCAGTGAGAGAGCTTGGTCCCGTGTTGTGCCCTTGGGGAAAGCTTTGTTCACAACTTTTCCCTCAGCCTCGCTCCTATGGGAGTTGGACGTTCAATTCGGAGGTCGCGCAACTTATATAACCTAAAAGATTTGCAAGAACCGTAAAACATATACCAATTCAAGTTTTGCAGGGACAGAACTCGGGCATTCAAAAATGACAAGTGAAACAAAAAACAAAACAAAAACAAGAACAAAAACAAAAAGCGACCCCGCTGTGAGATGGGTGGTCACTGGAGTCGGTTGTGGAGCATTGGACCCTCGCTCTTTAATAATAATAATAAGGGCATTTGTATCCCGCCTTTCCCCACAACACGGACCCAAGGCGTACATACATAGGAGATTAAAAAACGCATTCATACAAACACCACACAATTTCATCATGTGCTCACATTTTGACCGCAACATTCTTTCGGACAATTAAAAAAAATGCTCATACAAAAAGGCAAGGCACTGTCCATTAATTAAAATGTTTCTTAAATAGATGTGTTTTCACTCCCCTTTTGAAGGCATCATGAGGGAGAGTGTTCCAAACTGTTGGCCCAGAAAAAGAAAATGTTGAAATTAGTCTAGAGCCACTGGGTCTTAGTTCACGTGATGGTGTGTATGGTACAATGAGTTCTTGGATGTACGTGGGAGACTGGTTAGGCTGACCTTTGAAGCTCTTTCAACTTTTCCCACTCTCTCTTCTTTTCTTTCACACATACTCCCACCTTATTGTACTCCTCTTCCATCTCTTTCTCCTTCTGTCTCTGTCTTGGTCTTCTCTGTCTCTGTCTGTCTCTCTATCTGTCTGTCTGTCGTTATCACTCTCTCTCTCTCTCTCTCTCTCTCT